TTTTTAAAAATTTTTTTTTAGTTATACATGGACACAATATCTTTATTTTGTTTATTTTTATGTGGTGCTGAGGATCGAACCCAGGGTCTCACGCGTGAGGCGAGTGCTCTACCACTGAGCCACAACCCCAGTCCCTCCCTATTTCATTTTGTTATCTATTTTGTTTGCTTTAGGATTCTATTTTATCACCACTATTCACCTTTTACTTATGTTTTGTTTATTACTTTAGTTGTTATTTTAAGGTTTATAATGTATATTTTTAACTTGCCACAGTGTGCCTTCAAATGTTATATGGCTTCTCATGAAATGCAAGACTCTTTCAAAAATATACTTTCATTTCTCTCATCCTTTATTTTAGTATATTTTTTCTACACAAACACAATGTTATACTTTTACTTTACATGATCTGCCATCATTTAAAGATAATTCTAACAGAAGTTTTTTCATATGCCCTTATAATTTTTATTTTCAGTATCCTCCATTTCTTTTTTAGATCCAAATTTCTTTTTATTTTTTTTTTAAAGAGAGAGGAGGGGGAAGAGAGAGAGAGAGGGAGAGAGAGAGAGAGAGAGAGAGAGAGAGAGAGAGAGAGAAAGAATTTTTAAATATTTATTTATTTATTTTTCGCAGACACAACATCTTTTTGTTTTTTTTTTTTTTGTTTTTTGTATGTGGTGCTGAGGATCAAACCCGGGCCGCACACATGCCAGGCGAGCGCGCTACCGCTTGAGCCACATCCCCAGCCCAGATCCAAATTTCTATCTGTATCTTTTTCTTTCTTTTTGAAGAAATTCCTTTAGTATTTCTGGTAGAAGTTATGTTTGGCAACAAATTTTCTAGGTTTTGTTTTTCTAAAAAGCCTTTATTTCCCATTGTTCTCCCCCGCCCCCTTCTGTTTTGGGACTGACTATTAAAATCAGGGGTTCTATACTGCTGAGCTACATCCCTGGTCCTTTTTGTTTTGAGATAGGATCTCATTATGTTTCCCAGGCTGACCTCAGACTTGGTGATCCACCTGCCTCAGCCTCCTGAGTTGTTTTTTCTTTGAATTTTGAAGGTTATTTTCCTCACCATACAGGATTCTATGTTAATAATTTCTTTAGACCTCATTCAGTTCTCTGGTATACATAGTTTCTGAAGTGAAGTCTGGGGAAATTCTTATTTTTGTTCCTCTCTGTATGATTTACCTGTTTTCTATAGCCACTTCAAAGATTTTTAATAAATTATTTTCAGCTATTTGGTATGATAGATATAGGTATGGTTTCCTTTGTGTTTTTCCTTTTTGTTTTTTGAATTTCTTGAAGCTTTGTATAATTTTTTAGAAAATTTGGAAAATTTTTTGCCATTATTTTTTCCAATAATTTTCCTCCCCTCTCTTCCTTATTTTGAGGATCTGTTTTCATGTATAAGATCTGTGATATTATCCCATGGATTACTGAGACTTTGTTCATCTTTTTTTTTTTTTTTTTTCAAATTTTTACTCCATCTTCAAGTTTTGCTGTTTTCCCCCTTACACTGTCTAATATGTTCATCTCATTCCTGAAAGTAGTGAGATTTATTTAAATTTATTTTTCATGTCTTGAATTTTCATTTGGGCCTTTAAAAAATTCCATTTTCTTTCATTTTGTTCATGTTTTCCTTTAACTGCTTTGGACCTGTGATAACTTTTAATGTCTTTGCTAATTCTATGTATCTATCATCTTGAAGTCAGATTTTATTGACTGATTTTTCATTTGATTATAAGTTATATTTTTTTTCTTTTTGATGATTTTTGATTGAGTGCTGAACAATGTGATGTTACTTTGTTGAGTATCTGATTTTGTGTCTTGTGTCTTCCTTTCATGAACAATAGATTTTCTTCTGGAAGGCAGCTTAGTTAGATTAGTTTGGTTGCTTGAGAATGACTTTTGTTGTTAGAGCAGTTTTATCTTTTTTTTTTAAATTAAGAGATGGGGTCTTGATATGTTGTCCAGGATGACCTGCAGCTCCTGGGCTTAAGCATTTCTTCTTTCTCAGCCTCCTCAGTAACTGGGAGTACAGCACCATCACTCCCAGCTAGAATAGGTTTGTCCTATTAAGGCATAGTCCTGCTAAAATGCCCTAGTGATCAGTGAAGACTCTGCAGCCTGGCTGAGGAGCTCTGGAATGATTTTGAAGCCCTGTGTGAATTGAAACTATTCAGCTCACAAGCACCTTAATTAATAGAACTAGTAGAGTCTCAAAGTACATGTGTGCACTTTAGTATTAACAAAACATGAAGGGGACCTTGTGCTCTTTTTCAACATAGCACCTTTCACTTTGAAATTCTGTCCCTGAACTTCCAGTGGTTTCTGCATCTCTGAATTGTAGTTCATCCCCTTAGCTGACTGGAATTCTGCTTATTACTCTGATTTGATATGTGCTTGGGCAGAAAGCAGGGGCAAATCCTTGGGTTCACCTTTCAGTGTGAAGATTCTGATCTTCTATACCACTTAAGTCTTAAAGGGTACATGTTATATAATTGAACAGCATTTATTTTTTTCCTTTATGTCAGTGTCCAGTGTGAGCATGTCTTTTTCTGGTTTGTGAGAACTGTGGTTGAGAGGAACTGATCATTTGGTTCTAGCTGTAAATGTATAGTCAAGTGTATTGGGTTCTCTGAAGGCAAAACCAACATGTAACTTATCTGTTTGGTATTGTTTGTTTAAACTTTTCAAACTAAATTATGAATAAGTGCTTGGACAAAAAATGATGAGCTCTCCCATATCCTTGTGTGTTTCTAGGTGACTGTAACTACCTAATACACAACCATGGAGTCCATGCTTAATAAGTTGAAGAGTACTGTTACAAAGGTAACAGCTGATGTCACTAGTGCAGTAATGGGAAATCCTGTCACTAGAGAATTTGATGTTGGTCGGCACATTGCCAGTGGTGGTAATGGGCTAGCTTGGAAGATTTTTAATGGCACAAAAAAATCTACAAAACAGGTAAGTTATTCTGTCTAGTTGGAAAAAAAATACATGCTAAGTACTGTAAAGTATGTGTATGTATTTAAAAAAAATTTTTTTAAAGATGGACACAATATCTTTATTTATTTTTATGTGGTGCTGATAGAACCTTGTGCCTCACAAGTGCARGGCAAGTGCTCTACTGCTGAGCTATAACCCCAGCCCCTCATGTATGATTTTTATGTTAAGAAGTACCAAAAGTTCTTAAAAAAAATAAAAAATTCTTTAATGGATTCTTAATTCAGCTCTTTGTTTTTCATTTCATCTTATGAAGTCACCAAAAACAAAAATTTTAAAATATGCTCTGTGCCTCCTGCTTTACAGATATGCTGTTTGACATACCATGCTAACCTACTTTTGTTTACTTAATAACAAAGTGTTACAAATACCACTTTACTTAATAAAGTGTTATTTAAGCATATTAAAAGATAATAATTGCAAAATATATTTTAGGATAAAAATTGCCATAGCACTTAAGTTTTCTTTTACATTTGACAATAAATTATCAGGAAAATATCTATTTAAATACAGCCTTATAGAAAATAGACTTCTAAATTTTTTTATGTGTGTTTATCTGATAGCTTTTGCCATTAGAAGGGGATAATAGTTGTGGGATATATTTAGTAATGTGTTTTGAGTTATATTATTCTGTAGTCATTTGTTTTTTGGGACTAACTCTTCTTTTAGGGAAGAGTAGTTTGAGTTTTTTTTCTCCTTTAATTTGGCTTAAGAGATCAGCAGATGGTTCTTAGTATCATTAGTGTTAAATTTTATTAGCAGCTTTTTGTTGGAATTTTTAAGATATAAAAAAAATCCAGGTTTAAAATCTCTGTAGAAATAAGATCTTTTTTTAAAAACTTTTTTTAGTTGTTGATAGACATTTATTTTATTTATTTATTTTTATGTGGTGCTGAAGATTGAATCCAGAGCCTCACATAGGCTAGGCACAACCCCAACCCAGAAATAAGATCTTAAAAAAAAAAAAAGTCTAAATACTGCTAACGTTAAGTATCTCCTGTTTAGCGCATATTTTTCCCCCCCCAATGCTGGGGAATTGAACCTAGGGTTTTGCCCATGCAAGCTAGGCAACCATCCACCTCTGAGCTATATCCCTGGTCCATTTAGTACACTCTTATTCTCCAAAACCCAACAATATTTCTGAGTTAAAAGAATCCTTTTAAAAGTATATTTAAGGCTTTCATTCCCTTTGAAAGRTTAGGGTATTTTTTCTTAGGGTTATTTCAAATTTATATAAGTATCTGGTGAATTATAATTTTCAGATCATGTACAGTTTTTGACTTTATAATCTAGATGGTGAATTACTACTCTGTGAAGAATAGTAATTACAGCACCTACAGAGTAAATAAAACAAAGTAAATATTTATGAAACCTGGGATGTCACAATATAAAAAATTAGTAAACAACAATTTACTTGTGAACTTGGTAATTTCGTTGTACCTGATTGGACACATTTTTGTTAGTATTCTGGTTTTACATTCCCAGCAAAAATCAGTAGAAATTGTTCTGCTGATATTTACTGTTTTTCAAGGGCATTCATTCCAGAATTCCTCATAGTGAATAATTTATGAAAGTAAAATATAGACTTGCTGAGAATCATCAGTGTGTAATTGTTTTCATTTTTAAATTAAAAAAAATTTAATTTAATTTTGGAGTGCTGTTATTAGAAACTTATTCGTTAGATGARAATATGACTATTGAGACTGACAGTTTGTTTAAATAATTTGTAATGAAAGCAGCACATAATTATAATTTCCATCTCACCCATATACCTAATTTTTTCTTCCTTTCATGTAGAAAAATAATTCTACATTTTTGAAATTTCTTTCATCTATTTGTGTGTGTGTGTGTGTGTGTGTGTGTGTGTGTGTGTGTGTGTGTATGTGTGTGTGATGCTAGGGATTGAACCCATGGCCTTGTGCCTGAGAGGCAAGCACTCTACCAACTGACTATATATATCCCTAGCCATCTTTCAACTATTTTATACCAAGTTTTTTTAAAAATTCCTTTTTTTTAAATAGGGCAACTGTGGTGTAATTTTGTCTTCAGAGTTGTATACATTGGCCTGGTACATATTTTTTCCTCCTGACTGCTTCATGAGCTTCATAATACCTTTAGTTTAAATAACTTATTAGTTTCTGTGAGAATAATGAAGATTGGTTGGTTTTTAAAGTTTTAAACATAATAAATGTTTCATTGTTCATAGTTTATCTAGTCTACTAAATGTAGAATTGAACTTAGTTCATTAAGTATTAAAAAACGTACATTTGTTATTTAGATGCCAGTATTTGTGGGTGGAACTCACAAATATTTTGTGCATGAAAGCATAACTAAATTATAATAAGTAAACAAATTATACTTTGTTTTAAAATAAAGGAGACCATTATGCAAAGCTTGATATATTATTAGTCAAGTTGCTTTGATAAAAAAAATCAAAATTATTTGTAGTAATTTTAAGGGGTATATGTTGCTACGTTTCAGTCTTCTCAAAAATCAAGTTATTTTAAACTTATTATAAATTAAAATTTAGTTTTTATTTCATTGTTTTGAAGGAGTATTATCTCAAAATCAGATGGAAGATGAAGAGTCTGATGTTTGGCAGTTATTACTGCCCAGTCACAAAGGGTCCAGAAAATAGAGATCATAGGAAACATCTGTGTTTCAGAAAATGTCTTTGGTGGCTCTTAAGAGAGAGGTTAATGGAGGTCATGATTGCGGTTAGAGAATCCTAAATGCATTACTTTATATCACATAACTTAGATTTTATTTCTTGAATGATCTAGTTTTCAACAAAGTTCACTTTTATAGTAAGCAAGGATCTTTTTAAAAAAAACATATAAATCAGGTCTATTTCAAATGAAACATCCTCAGTTGTGACAAATATTAGTTTTTAGAAGAACTTTATAGTCTTTTTTTTTCTTTTTTAAATTGGGCTGTTGGAAAAAYATACTTTTTAGTGGGTGTCTTTTCTTTCAGTGTATTTTAAAGAATATGCAGTGAATAAACGTTAGGAACAATTGCAAGCAAATATTGCACATATTTTGTTCTAATCAATTATTGTGTAAAAAGACTCAATTTTTTATCATTACTTTATTTTTGTTTTTAATTTTTTTTWAGTCAACAAATCATTTATAAAGGAGCAATCTATAGACTGTGAAAAAACATTTGCAGTACACACACTTGTTTACAAAATATGCAAAGACTGGAAAACTCAACAATCAGCTAATAATGCAATTAAAAATTAATGAATCACATAAACAGGTGTTTCATTAAAGAGAATAATCAAATGGCAAATAGGCATATGTAAAAATACTCAGCCTTATTTGTTGTTAGAGAATTTCCCATTAAAACCATAATGGGGCTGGGGTTGTGGCTCAGRGGTAGAGCAGTTGCCTCTCACTTGTGAGACCTTGCATTCGATCCTCAGCACCACATAAAAATAAATAAGTGAAATAGAGGCATTGTGTCCACCTACAACTAAAAAATAAAATATTAATAAAACCCCAAACAAACAATAATGGGTGGCCAGGCATGGTGGTTCACGCCTGTAATCCCAGCATCTTGGGAGGATGAGGCAGGGATTGAGAGTTCAAAGCCAGCCTCAACAAAAGCAAGACTCTAAGCAACTCAGTGAGACCCTGTCTCTAAATAAAATRCAAAATGGGGCTGGGGATGTGGCTCAGAGGCCAGTGCCCCTGAGTTCAATCCCTGGTTGCTCCCCTACCCCCCCACCGATAAAACACAACAAAAACAAACCATAATGGTTTTCAACAAAGTTCACCTTTGGTACAATAAGCGCTCACACGTATAATTTTTTATTTGCAAAATAAAAAATGTTAACAAACAATAAAATAAATCTGTTGCTGTGTACCATATGATAAATGAGAGAAGGAACAATTGCAACAAAAGCATTCCACAGTCCTCTCTGAGCCTGGCAGCAGGACTGTTCAATATGTTTTCCAAAATATTAAGTCATCAAACCTATCATTTACCCAATTTTTCACTGATCTTCATGTAGCAAATATTACACATTACTGCACACAGGAAACACAGATGTTTCCTGTGATCTCTATTAATTAATTTAAATATAAATGATCTAGATATTATAATTAAAAGGTATAAGTGTTCAACATGTGTAAAAAGCAAATAGTAGCTATATGCTCTATGCATATATTACTCTTTAAATATCAATACACCAATGTGTTAAAAGCAAATGGAGGGGAAAAAAAACATGAGAAATCTGAAATAGAGCTATTAGTATAAAATTAATTTCAAGAAAAAGTATTCTCAGAGATAAAGGTAAACATTTCATAACATAATATTGTAACTTCTTCAAGAAAGTATAATAATCCTAAGTGTAAATGTACCTAATAACAATTTCAAAGTGCTTGAAGTAAAAATTAATAAAACTAGAAAACAAATCCACAATCATTTGGAGATTTTAAGCCCCCTCACTTTGCTGGAAGGAGTAATGATTTAGAAGGCTTAACAACATTAATCAGCCACCTTTACCTATTTGTTATTTCCAGAAAACTATATATAAAAATGATATGTAGGGTCTGGAGATGTGGCTCAAGTGGTGGTGCGCTCGCCTGGCATGCGTGCGGCCTGAGTTTGATCCTCAGCACCATATACAAACAAAGATGTTGTGTCCGCCGAAAACTAAAAAATAAATATTAAAATTCTCTCTTTCTCTCTCTCTCTCTCTCTCTTAAAAAATGATATGTAGAAAATTAATAAGGATAGACAGTATTCTGTCATAAAATAAGCTTTTTTTTGGAGAAAATTTTAAAATTAAAAGACTCAAATTTAAACTACAGTTAATCATTGTCTAAAGATGTACTGGATAGTTGCACTTTGTCATCTTTTATGTATATTTTAAATCATAATGAAAAGATGAAAAGGATTTTAATTTGAAATAATAAAATGCTTCTAATTAATTAATTGCTTATCTTTATTGATAAAAAAAGTGGGCAATAAACACCAGAGATGCTTCTACCAAGATCTAGCTTTGTTTTTTGTTTGCTTTTGGTCTGCTAGTGATCCAGTCTCTGGATCCTCACTCTTCAAGCACTCCACCATTCAGGCACACCCTATCCCCACCACTAAGACATTGTTGCTTGCTTCAAAAAGTCTATAATATATAGATAGAGACAGGCAGGACTTTTATGGAAGTGGCATATATGTGTTAGCAGAGTGGGTAGGACAGGTTGATTGTCCCTTATGAAGTGCTTGGGATCAGAAATGCTTACATTGAGTATCCWTAGCCCAAAATCTGAAACTTGAAACTCTTTGAGGATCTCAGCTTCAATTTTGGAGCATTTTGAATTTCATATTTTCAGATTGGAAATGCTCAATCTGATAGCAAAATAATAAAAGAGAAATACAAGTTGGAAATTGATTATGATATATTCTGATGAAAGGTTTTAAAATATAGGCTAAGAGTTTTAGGAAATCAGTATGGGGTCTGAAGAGTTATTAACATAATTTTGTTGAAATTGATTAATTTTAACTGATTTGAATAAAGAGAAAAGTATTTTTAAGATAGTTAGTTGATAACCTGTTCTGTCCTGTGTAGAAATCTGTCATCTTTTACCTTAAACAATAAATGAATCTTTGAAAGAATTTTATGTTGTTTATTTTTCTTTGTTCTTTTAAGAGTGGTAAAACTAAGAGCTCAAGAACCATTTCATGTGATCTTTTTTTAAGGCTTAAAACATCTTGAAAAAATAAACACATTTAAATTAGATGCATTTATAAAATGTGTTACAGCAGAACACTTACTAAAATAAGATTTTGCGCATGATTGGTGCCATAGGAACTTGAACTTCTAGGTCATTTTTTTTTTTAGTTCAAATTAATATTATATAACACTCTTACTTTCTTCTCTTATGTCTCTTAATGATCAAAAGAGCTAGGTTGATCTGTTTATACAGGTTGAGCATCCCTAATCCAAAAAACCTGATATCTGAAATGCTTCAGTATCCAAAATCTTTTGAGTGCCAATATGATGCCACATGTGGAAAATACCACACCTGACCTCATGTAACAGTCAAAATGTAGATTCACTAAAAATCTTGTATAAAGTTACTTAAGTCTATCTGAGTAAAGGCATATATGATGTAAATGGAATTCCAGATTATGCAAGATTTCAGAATCTGAGAATAAAAGCCAAATCTGAAATACCTCTGGTACAAAACATTTCAGATAAGGGACACTCAGTCTGTATATGAATGTTATTTAAAGCTGTCACTCAACTTCAGTGCTTTCTTTCCTGAAAGCATGTACCATGTTATTACTTTACTGTTCCATATTTGTCTCTTTGCTATTTCTGAGGAGACAGAGTGGCATATTGGCCCTAGAATTAGTCTACCTGGGTAACTGAGTCTTGGCAGTTCAGTTTTTGCTGTAAGATCTTAGATAAAACATTTCCTATGTTCTCTTTAGATGAAAACTCTGGGTCTCATACCTTTACAATTATTTAGATTTATTAGTCATAAAGGAAACAACATTTTAATCAGAAAGGTATTATAATGGTGCTAAAATTTTCATGGCATTAGTTTTTATTTCTAATTGTAAACTGCTGACATTCAAATATAACTTTATTATTTTTATATAGTTCTTGATTAAAATTAGTGACACAATTCTTTTATTAGGAAGTGGCTGTTTTTGTCTTTGATAAAAAGCTGATTGACAAATATCAGAAATTTGAAAAGGATCAGATCATCGATGCTTTAAAACGAGGAGTCCAACAGTTAACACGGTTACGACACCCTCGACTTCTTACTGTCCAACATCCTTTAGAAGAATCAAGGTAAATTTTTTATAGAAATTTATATAGGAGACTTTGTGAAAAAAGTTATAAATAACTATATTTGGTCTATTTCAAATATTATCAGTGAAAAATTGTTACAAACTGTCATTCTTATATATTAGTTTCCTAAAATTTATTTGCATTTTGCATGTATTCTCTTTTTTTGAATATTGATAAAGACTTACTTCACATTTGCCTTGAGTCTGTATTTAAGTGTCTTTTCTATGCTCAGCACTACAGTAGTCAAAATGGAAGATGTAAGAGAAGTATGGAGTATATTCACTGCCTTGAAAATGTCTGCCTTGCTAATTTGTTAAAATTTCTTGTCTCCTTTTTATTGAGGCAATATTTGAAGACCAATTTTGTGTGTGTGGCAAGTGCATTTCCAGACATTTAATCTTCTGTTTTTCCCAGCATGTCAATCCATAGCTTTCATTTACTTTACTATGTATTTTTTCTTGAGGATGATCTTGGGAAATATTGCTGACCAGAAAATGAAATTTATGTAATCTTGACTAGACTGTCAAGCCTGTGATGCTTTTAATAATCCTTTAGAAACCCTAGCTTTATAAAACCTTTTCCATATTATTCATAGCCAAATTGTTTTATTTGCTCCTTCTTAGCAGACTATATTCCCCTTTTAGTTTAGGATCCTTACTCAAGTGATTTGCCATTTGTGTTCTGTGGTCCCTAGTATTTTAAGGATAGGATAGGAACAGGCAAGTAAGGTACACAACTGTCAGAGTTCCAAACTTCTCATCTCCCTTCAGGTACTGTAATTTTGCTTTTATCAGTTTGGCATATTAGATTTCTTCAGAAAATTCTTACACTAGAATCTTTACTAATCAGCCCCTCTAAAAAAGCAGGAGACCGCCACCACCACCTAAAAGAAGACAGAATTTACCATGTGAAAACTATCCTAAATGTTTTACATTGTTTTACTTATTTAAGTTTCACAATAATGTAGGATGAGGATCAGAGATATTACTTAAAGCTGGCAGAGATGTGATTTCTGAGCTCACTTTTTTTTTTAACTGTACCATGCTATGCCTGCCCAGAAATTTGCTCATATGTCTCTTATCATAAAAATATTCTTATTACTTGTATCTACAGCGTATATCTCATAATTATATTTTTAAATTTCTCGTGACAACCAGTATGTTACACTTTCTCTGTCTCAGCAGCTTCTTTTATAGTGAATTAAACATTATAGAACTAGAATTTTGTTGGTAAGCAGAAAGAGAGAATTCACAGATTACTTTAAGATATCTTAATTGTGAGGTTGTAAAAATTGTAGAAACATTAGTAGAAATAGGAACATTTTAGAAAAGGAAAAAAATAGGTTCTAGTCGTTAATGAATTAATAATATTGAATGGCACAGAAATTATCCAAAGGAAATCTCCTACAGAAAGGATAATTCAGATGAAAGTTCAGAGTTGGTGATGTGTATGGGAATAACAAAGGCAGTAATTGAAATTTAACCAGATTAAAATGGATTTTTTTCAAGAACATGAGTAAAATGAGCAGTAGACTGAGGAATGTACTTTGAAATGTAGGGAGGTTAAAAGAGCCAGGGAAGGAAAAAGGAGAAATCATTGTCATATGGCAGGAGAAAACCTGGCAGCATTTTATAGAAGCCAAGGGAGAGGGACAAAAGGACCCAATTGCACTGGAGACTGAAGAATGGAAAGAAAATAAGAACTGAGAAGAATCATTACGCTTAACTAGTGAGAGGTTATTAGTGACATTCAACAGTTTCAATAAGATGGCAGTTTGTAACCAGAAAATGTAACAGAATCCAGAAGACATGTGGGTCAAGTCTTGTTGGAGGAACTCAAAGGAAGATGGTTGAGGAATCAGTAATACACTCAGGTAAAGTTTAAGGCTAATGAGTTTATTCGTTCATGTTTGATGAACTGTAATTTTTTGTGAAGTAGAAAGTGGCTACTAGGTAAATAGTAGATAAAGAGAACCATGGAATAAAGAATGAAATAAGAGGACTGTGAATAAATGTTATTGAATGTTGAAAAACAAAGAGAACAAGGTTCAAGTATACTTTGTGTAAAAGAAACCTGTGATGGTCATTACAGGATTAAACTTTGCCTAGTAAAAGATAAATAAGGTGAGAGTTTATTRTTGGTCACTGGGGAAAAGAAAGGAATCACATATAACAAGGACTGAATTTGTTGTACAAAGATACTGGGAAGCTAAGTTTTGGTGGAGGTGGTGAAAATAAATGACTGGTAAGAAACTGTGTTTGGGAAGTGGTCCTTAAGAACATATACCCTTTTCAATGTGATTAATAATAATAGAAATGAATTTTCATGAAAGATTGTAAGGCCTTAGAACTTGAATGATAATCATAGATTTTTGATGTGACTAAGGATGATTTTTTGGGTCGAGAGAGAGAGTATTTGAGCAACTTTCAGAACCATTCTGTAAAAGAATGCCTTAGTGTCCTCTGGGTTAATGAGGTGAATCCTAGGCATAAAAACAAGATAGCATCCTTCATAATGACTGAACAGGTAGGAAATATGATCCTTTTCTCTTTCAATCTTAAGTAGATCTGTTTCTGTCTGATATATATTGAATATATGTGGTTTTGTTTGAAAAATAGGTTGAAGGCAGATAAAAGGTTATTTAGATATTATAGACATGTGAAACAACAAAGTTCATATTAGTGGCACAGAAACTTGGTTTAGCCTTGTTGCTATACTACCTTGTAATCCTTCATTGCCAGAGCCCAAAGCCTAAAGCCTAAAATGTTAGGGCTTGAGCCTCAGATGGTTGGTAATTGTAACAGCAATAAGAAGAGTTTATTGAACATGCACTAGATGCTTTGCTATATATTTTATGATTATCTCATTTGATCTTCACAGTAACACTTCAAGGTGCATCTGTTACTGTCATTTTACATATGGGCATAGTGAAGCTCAGAGTTAAGTGTGCAGTGTCAGTAAGGTGGGAATAGGTATGCTGGAACTTGAAATCAGATATTTATCTTTCTTTAAAGCTTGAGTTCTTGATCATTACTCTATAAAGCTATTGAATGTCAATATCTAATGTTTTCTGGATTTTTCATTCTTATACACCAAAAAGCAATGATTAAAAAAATGTAAAACTGCAACACCTTTCAAAAATGGATAAAAGCAAAGTTGCTTTGATTGTAAGTAAGAATGGGGGACTGGAGGTATGCCTGTTCCTTTTCCTGATCCTCTTGCTCTTGAGGCATCAGTGGGAATTCTGTAGGTTCCCTGAGTAGCATATTGTGAAAATTACAGCTTTAGAAATAAGGATATCATATGTATAATATAACAATTTTTAAGTAAGTTTATTGGTTTCCCATAAGGAATATCAATCATTGAAGAAGTTAACAGTTGAAATAATATCTTATTTCCTGATGTTTTAAGTTAAAAAAAATGTATCAGTTGTTATAACACTTAGTTTAGAAGATTGATTTATCCAGGATAATTCATATATAAAGCCTCCTGATATTGTTTGAAATGTTCTATAACTATGCTGAAATTTACAAATCTAAAATAGTCTACCTTATCAGTAGTTTAATAGGATTTCTAATAGTTTATGTATATTTGATTTTGATAATGAATAAAAAATGATAGTAATAACTCTTTCTTTTTGAAAACAGGGACTGCTTGGCATTTTGTACAGAACCTGTTTTTGCCAGTTTAGCCAATGTTCTTGGTAACTGGGAAAATCTGCCTCCCTCTATATCTCCAGACATTAAGGATTACAAACTTTATGATGTAGAAACTAAATATGGTTTACTTCAGGTATGTATTTTTATTTAACATGTAAAAGTTTTTCCTTTAAGGTTATTTTTGGCTTTTTCAAATTTATTAGACATTGTAAACTATTTTATATAAACCTTTTGTTCTTATTAGTAATTTGAAAACAGTTTCTGTGTTGTATAATTTTTTTTTTTTTTGCAGTTTATTGTTAGGCTTGGATAATATTTTAAATATATAAAACTGATAACTTTGGTAAACTTTGAGGAGGGGAACTTATTGATTGGTTAATGGGATGGGTTCCTTTTGATTTTTTTGAATTTTTATTCATGTAAGTAATTTCATAAAAAAAATTATAAGTTGAAATATAGTATTGAATAATAATATTACTTCTCTAAAAAAATTTAGTAGCTATCAAGAGATATTATTGGCTTTTCCACATACTTTTAAGATTTTTCTTTCTTTTCTTACCAGAATAATATCTTCAGCTCCATATAGTAGATTTATGTAACAGATTTTGAGATCCTGGTGGACAGAGATCATTTTATTGATTGACTGATTATGGTACTGAGGAGTGAACCTAGGGGGCATTTTTACCACTAAGCTATACCCCTGTCCTTTTGTTTGTTTGTTTTTGAGAGGCTGTCACTAAGTTGCCCACATTGGCCTTGAACTTGTGGTCCTTCTGCCTCAGCCTCCAAAGTAGCTGGGATTATAGGTATGTGCCACCTTGCCTGGCCATTTTATTTATTATTTAACAGCTAGCTGTAAAACATAATTGACATACTTAATAGGCTGCACATATGTGAAATTTGACACATATAATCCTACGAAACCATCACCAAAATCAAGATAATGCACATATCCATCACTCTCCAAAGCTTTCTCATACTCCTTGTATCCTTCCCTCTCTGTATCTTGTCCCAGGAAGTCACTGACTTGCTTTCTACCCCTATGGATCAGTTTGTATTTTCTAGAATTTTATAAATGGAATCCTATAGGTGTGTGTTTTTTTAATCTGGCTTCTTTCAGTCAGTGTAATTATTTTGAGGTTTACCCATATCATTGTATGTATCAATAGTTGATGCATTTTTATAATGGAGTAATAGTCCATTGGATGCATATATCAGTTTGTTTATCCATTTATCTGTTGATGGTCACTAGCATTGTTTCTAGTTTTTGGCTTATAGCTAATGAAGCTGCTGGAATATTTGTGTACAAGATTTTGTATGGACACAGATACTTTCATTTCTTCTGATTAAATAAATAGCTGTGAGTGGAATGRCTAGATCAAATGTTATTTGTGTGTTTCACTTTTTAAAGAAACTGACAGACTTTTCCCAAAGTGGTTATACTGTCTTTCATTCCCATTAACAGTATAATGTGAATTAGTATAATTAATATATCTTTGTTAAAAACTCTGTTATTTTCATATCTTTTTTTTCATATCTTTGTTAAAAACTCTGTTATTTTCTTCCTTTTAATTTTAACAGGTGTACATTAGTATCTGTAAGTGGTTTTAATTTGTATTTCCCTAATGAATATTAATGATACTTATTACATTTTCATATGTTTCCTTGCCATATGGATATTCTCTTTGGTGAATGTCTGTTCAGACATTTGCCCAGTTTTTGAATGTTTTCTTATTAATGAGTTTTTAAGATTTCTTTACATGTTGTAGACACAAATCCTTTGTCAGATATATAATTAATAATTATTTTCTCCTAGTCTGTGGCTTATCTTGTCATTTTCCTAACTATATTTTTTAAAGAATGGTGGTAAAATTCCATCTTTGTTATTATTTATTTATTTTTTTAGAGAGAGTGAGAGAGGAGAGAGAGAGAGAATTTTTAATATTTACTTTTTAGTTCTCTGCAGACACAACATCTTTGTTGGTATGTGGTGCTGAGGATCGAACCCGGGTCGCACGCATGCCAGGCGAGCACGCTACCGCTTGAGCCACATCCCCAGCCCCCATCTTTGTTATTTTTAAATGTATGTTTAATCCATTAAATATGTTGACTTGTTGTACAGCCAAGACTACCATCCACATTTACATAACTGTTTTCATCTTGCAAAACTGAAACTGTACCTGGTAAACAATAACTCTTATCCCCTACATTCCCCCARTTCTTGGCATCTACAGTTCTATTTTCTGTCTCTGTGAATTTGACTACTCTGTATACTTTATATAAACAGAGCCCTTTGTAATTAGCTTATTTCACTATGTCCTCAAGGTTTATCCATGTTATAGCATGTGTCAGAATTTCCTTCCTTTATAAGGTTGAGTAACATTCCATTGAATGCGTGTACCACATTATAAGCAATTCAGTTGTACTTTAATCTGTCAACTGACTCCTGATTTGCTTCTATGCTTTGGCTTTCGTGAATAATCTGCTGTGAACACACACACACACACACACACACACTCTTTGAACAACTTTTTTTTTGTGTGTGTGTGTGTATGTGTGTGTGTGTATGGTGGAGGTACTAGGGATTGAACCCAGGAAGATTTTATACCCCCAGTCCCTTTTATTTTTTGTTTTTAGACAGGTTCTTGTAAATTGCTGAGGCTGGCCTTGAACTTTGATCCTCCTGCCTCAGTCTCCTGAGTTGCTAGGATTATAGCTGTGTGTCATCGTGCTTGGTTAAATCTCTATTTGAGATCCTGCTTTCAATTCTTTGGAATATATACTCTGGAGTAGAATTGATGGGCCATATGGGGTTTCTAGTTTTAATTTTCTGAGGAGCCACGATAAAGGAGTTACCTGTTTTCTATAAAGCCTACACCATTTTACATTTTCACTAATAGTGCATGCATATGGATTTTAACTTCTCCATATCCTTGCCAATATTTACTGTTTTCTCTTTTTACTTTAGAGTATCTAGCCATCCTGCTGGATATGAGATGGTATCTCATTGTGATGTTATAGTTAAAGCTTTGTCCCAGGGTTTCATAAACTGACTTCCAGACCACTCACGTATAATCGAATCAAGTCTTTATTGAAGCACACCGGTGGCTGCTGACCAGAACATAAAGCTGTTCCCCTGATCAGCCCCGAACAATTGCAAGGGCACTCCTTATAAGCCTGAAAACCGCAAAAGGGATGTTGGGGG